TTAAAAAAAAAAAAAAAAAAAGGTGGAAGAACAAACGCATCCCTGGACACAGAAGAGTTTTCTTGGGATACCTCTGGAATCCTGGAAAAACTCCTACAGTCTAGCCATACCCTCACTGGGTTGAGACAGGATGGGTGGGCTATGGGGTGGGAATGAGGGATTTGAGTGTGGGAAGGGGTGAGAGATGCAATCTCTGAGAGGGAATTTGGTTGCAGGAGGAGGTGGAGTAGGGGATGCAGCCTTGGGGAGAGGGTTCCAGGCTGGGGATTGTTGGGGTCAGATGGAGGCTTGGGGTGCTGAGAAAGCTACAGGCTTGTGGATGTGAGGGTGCAGGAGTTTGGGTTGGGGTATGTGAGGGGCTACGGGCAGGGAGGTTGGGCGTATAACGGGCTCAGGACACATTTGCAGTGTGTGGGTGGTGCAGAAATGTTGTGGCAGAAGGCTGGGGATGTGGGGGTGCAGGAGTTTGGGGATATGAGAGGCTCAGGACAGGGGGTGCCAGTGTATGATAGGCTCAGATCTAGAGTCTGGGGCGGGGGTGCAGGAGTGTTATGATGCTGCGGCCAGATGGGGGCTTGGCCAGGCTTCATTTTTAAATAAAATATTATGACAAACTCAAAAAGTTTCAGCACTTTCTTTATGAGAAGGGCGGGGAACCTGCTTTGAGTCAGGAGTCACTTACCCACAGAAAAGTCAGTTGGTGCCACACAAGTGAGATGCAAAAAAATAACTCCTCCAAACCAGCCACCCACCCCAAGCCTCACTAATGTGGCCCCAACTGTGCTAGTGGGAGCAGGGGACATGGTACTGGGGAGGGGTGCTAGTGGCTGCTGGGGTGGGGACAGGGTGCCAGTGGGAGCAGGGACAGGGTGCCAGTGGGAGTAGGGGACAGGGTGCTAATGGGGACAGGGGACAAGCTGTTGGTGGGGGCAGGGGACAGGCTGTCCCTGGCCTGCATCTCCTCCAGGGACGCCTCTCCCTTTCTCCCCCACGCAGAGGAGGGAAGTCCCCCTCCCCCCATGCAACAAGTCCTCAGCATGCTACACACCTGGATTGTGGTACCGGGCCAGCTGTTTGGGGGACGGGGAGCAGCCAGTGCACTTCCTGAAACCCTGGAAGTGGTACACAGCTGCTGGACTTCTTCCACCCTGTAGGATGCTGGCACTACCTCCATTGTCGCTGGAGGTAGGTAGTGGGGCTTCTTGGGGGTGGGGGGAAATGGGAGGGCCCCAGATGCCTTGTGATCGACCAGTCAATCACGATTGAGGGGTTGGTGACCACAGGACTAATGCAAACTATGCGGCTTAGCTGGACTTCATACGTTGCCTTGCTGAGCCTTTACTGGTGGCAAGGGCTGTGACAGAGACTAAGGTGGAGAGAAATATGTGCTTTGAACATGATTGAAGAGGAACAGGTGCTTAGCAGAAAGGCTTTTAAAGCGCTGACTGAAGGTGACGTGTGTGACACAGTTTTCTATCTGCAGAAGTGAATCATGGCGCATAGCCTTAAAAGCTGCAAAAAAAAATGGACGCTATCAAAATGAGAAGATAGTA